TCCTCCACGTTAAGACTTAGAAATAGGGATAGCAATTTTTCCCTGATCTTAAATGAGAACGGAGCAAGGATGGGGAAAATATTTTTGCCCTGAATCGGGAATGGGGCGGGGACGGGATTTACACATAATTCCTTAAACCCACACTGAACCTGATCGTAAATTAATAAAATATTCCTAAATTTAATATTGATGTTTAAATATCTCCAAGTTTTAGGTGGTTGATTAGGGGCAGGGAAAAATCGGGAATTTCCCATCCTCGATGGAGAGTGGGTGCCCCGCCCTGCTATTGGGGACATGACAGGAATGGTGTAGAGTATCTTAACTACAGGGTTGGGATGCAAAGGGGGTGTCCTGGCCCGAATCCACCCAGTTGCATTCCTGTTTACACGATAAATAGAAAAAGAATCAAGGCTTAGGAGGAATTCTCTGCAATCGGATAGAATTGGAAGAATCCACCAATTAAGGGTGTAAGTTGGGTTGGCCCAAGTTAGCATTTTACACTGGGCCAGGTCATTGAAATTTTGACAGAAGTTTAATTCAAGCCCGCCCAAATTGCATCCTTACAACCAATGAAAAGACTTGAAAGTCTTCAACATGGACTGAACTATGCACAACCTGGTGCAGGTTTAAAGCATGAGTAAATGAAATTCTTTCTCTAGAAGCTAAGGCCTCTCCTTCTAAAACTGAGCAGGAGGGAAAGGAGACTGATCTTGCAACATGGAGACATAATGGCCTATTATCCACCTAACCCAATGCATCTCCACCTCAATCTCATATGAGCTTAGATCTATTACCTACAAAGACGCTATCTCATGTACCCACAACCACAGTACACTGCAGTCGCACATTGGAAACATCCATAAATCTCAATTATGATGTTCTAATGACTGATGTAAGATCGTGGGTAGGCTTGGGGAAGCAGATATGGATTCATTCCATATACATTTACTTGAAACAAATGGGTTGTCAATGGTATGAGGGAATGAACATGGATGGGGCCAGGGGTCCAACCAAGGTTCACTAAAAATAATGCACTTTTATATTTGTTTTAGCTTTTTTTTTTCAAAAATTGGTTTTTAAATAGTGTTTATTAAAAAAAGAGGGATCAAACACTTATAAACAGGTGTTTTAGGATCCAAAAGATATAAGGCATATCGTATTAAAATTTTAATACTTGAGTCCAACCATCCATGAAAATTCTGGCAGGGGAAGAGGTGAGCCATGCCCCCAACCCCATTGATATTCCATCTATATTTTTGCTTCAACAATTCATATTTATTAGCTTTTGTCCCCACTAAGAAAAAAATCCTAATTCCACCCTGAATTCTGGGGTATAGGCCTTTAGTTTTGACCCTGATTTTTCCGGGCTCCTGGTGCTGGTGGGGTACCTTAGTGCATTCTTGTTTTATTTTTCTGCCGACAGGTGACAATAGCAGCGGAACCACAAGGAAGAGAAGAATGGATTGGCTGCATTACGACCTTAATCGGTGTTCAAATGGTTCTATTAATACCTATTATTTTTTTCCGACAGTGATACCGTTTTATCTCTTAATTGACTGATACATTTCTACCAAAAAACAAAAAATTAACTGATATAGAGAACAATCTGGTAAAAACAAACCTTGTGGGGTATGGCTTCGTGAGGTTTTCAATTTCTAAAAATATTCTATTTCTAATAAATTCGACAACTTTTTGGAGCAATGGCATTGCATTACTGATTCCATGTAAATGCCATATAAAATTTGACTTTTAGGCTGTGTTTTGTTTGAAGAAAAAAGTAAAATAAAATAAAATAAAAAGAGAATAGTAGAAAAACTTTTACAAATCTTGTATATATAAAATACAAGGTTTTGCACTCTACAAATTTGTATTTGTACTCTTTCCAAACTGAGCCTAATGTACAAAAAATGACCTCAATTCTTTTGGCTCAGTTGTGGAAGGAGTACAAATGCAAATATATAGAGTACAAAACCTTATACTTTGTAGGAGTGCAAATGGACTGGATCATGATCCAATCCGATCCGAAATCCAATCCTATATTCTCGGATTTGGATAGCTCCATCTCGGATCTTTGGATTGGATTGGATAGGATAATAAGATCTTATCAGAAATCGGATCAGATTCGGACCACCCCCTATCTGATCCGATATATATGTTATTAATTAATTTATATAAATATATATATAACACACACACATATATTACTTATTTATTTATAAATAAATTTGTTATATTATTAATTTTTTATAAAACACACACACACACATATATATAATGAAAATAGTTGAAAAGATACTTGTAGTTTTTGTTTTTCTTTCTTTATTTAAATTGTTATATTTTATCTTTTTTTAAATCAAATCAAATTGGATCAGATCCGAAAATCTGATTTTCTTATCGGATTCGAATTCAGATATGTATTTATCAGATCTGATCGGATCAAATCTGCAATTAATAATGTCAGATCCAATTCAGATATACCTTGATTCCAATTGGATCCGATCTATTTGCATCCTAATATTTTGTATGTATTTGCACTATACATATTTGCAATTGAACTCTTTCCAAAATGAGGCTAAGGGTGTTTAAAACAAACTCTGTCTAAACATGATGACACTCTACAACTGTTAGTGATGCATGCAATAACATATAGAGATAGAGGAAACAAATGAAATGAAATATTGAGATGGTCGTTTTCACATGAAACCTAGTGTCGGCATTTAGGCTCTGCTTGGAAAGAGTGCAAATGCCCGTTCAGTGCATATATTCACTCTTTCTCAATTTTGTTTGTGTTTGGTAAAAATACATTTATGTAATGAAAGTGATAGCTTTTAAAAACTTCAAAGCATGTTCACATCCAAAATGAGAGCATTGCACCCAAAGTTGATAAATTTGGATTTGGTCCTCCGTCTTCACACTATCAGCCCCTTGCAGCTGTGTATTGAGGAACATCTCCCCATCTATTACAATTAAAAAATCCTTTGGCAAGAGATAAATTTATCAATGCAAAACTAAACCAACTTTGCATTTACATGGACCAAAGTACACATATTTGTATTCACGTCTTATTTCCACCTCTTCAAAACACAATCCTCAAATTTACTACTTTCACCAGAAACATAATAGGGGGTGCAACTTGGGGTTGGGTTGGAAATTTGTCCAATTTTCTATGGTACCAAACTTTAACCTAAGACAAACATTATTTAACATGCAGCTTGATTTACAGCCCTAAATATAAGCGCACACACACACACAAAATACCCTATTAATGCAAAAGGATGATCTGCTGCCCACTCCATAGGACATTACAATTGTGCAGTGGGAATATCTCCATTGTTATTCATGGGGGAGATATTCCAAATATACACGGTGGTATTATGTGGGAACAATTTTTGGGTAGCAGATCCAGCATGAGCAGTTTAGGGGCTGTTTGATTGGGGTTGAGAGTCTTGTTTGGGAGTATTTTATTGTTAAAATAAATGCTTATATTGGATATATAAGTGCTTATTTATTAGTGTTTGATAAGAAAGTAGTTTTTTCAATCCATTGTTGACCTGGCTGGTTGAACCGTTCGAACTGTTAACCAACCATTTGGATTCGGTTCTAATAAAATTAAAGAATTGGTCAAAAACCATTTGCCCTGGGCGTTTAGATTGTTGACCCATCTGACCCAATGATTGTGTCATAGATTATACACCAAATGTGTACGCAAATTTCTAGAACCTATAACTTTGCACTTTAATGTTCAATTGAAGTGATCTTTTTTTTTTTAAGTAACTCTTTGAGGCCTATGCATTATGTTTGGGTTATGGTTGAGCTGCCCCCTTGGTGCCATGTGTCACCTTTGCGACCGCCTTATCACTTCGGCCATGTCGGTACCACATCAGATGGATAAATGCGACCAAGATAGGAGAGCATCGTATGGATAAGGAGGACAACTTTGCTAGGGATTAAGTCTTATCCCGAAGTCCTCGGCAGATAACCTCATCCCGACAACCCTAGAAACTTCATCCGAGCAGGACATGGATCATCGACTATAAAAAGGTAACTCCCACTCAAGGTAAATGACTTTTTGACTCTCTAGCACCCATATTATTACCCTGTTCGGACCAGCATTGCCCTTAACTACTCGGCTCGACCACCTACTATTTTTGACTAACTTGAGCGTTGGAGTACCTATTCGAGGAATAACTCCTCGGACCTCTGACCATTTTCTTGGTTTCAGATCTTAGAGCGCAGCTTTATCCTTCCACCTCGGCCTCGTCCAATTGACAGGATTATCTTACTATAACTTCAATTCAGGACAGAATCAAACAACATCACATTCAAATGACTGAAAATCCAAACCCAACCGGAGGATAAAAAATCTAAATCCAACTATTATAAAATTTGAATTAGATCAGTTCGGGCTCAAGTTGGGCTGCCCAAATTGCACCCCCTAACTTGATGTTCTTCACGTTGGTTGTGTTTATGTACATTCTTTAAGGGTAATTCTGTCATTAAATATCCACTAATACCCTAAAATTAAAATACCCTTCAATAAAAAAATGTTTGATGAATGAACTGGTATTCATTCAAATTCACGTGAGTTTTTATTATTAAAGTTACTGTTTTTCACGTATTATACCTTTGCGTATGATAGAAATTGCTTATTGGGATTTTTTAATTATTTGGGGATTTGAGATTCATTACTGGCCATTGAATGCATTTACACTTGAATGTATTAATTAACATTTACAACAATTTATTAATTTGGGATTTCATAATTCGGAGGGATCCTTCAAAGTATACCATGGCTGAATCTGCAGAATGGCCATGCCATTATTATCTTGTCCGATTACAATATGGCCACCATATGATCAAAAATTAAAATGCTAATAATCGAATCGTCTGATAGTCTATCAAATGAATGGTCGAGATAAGAATACGGATTATGGTGTTCCTACTTCCTACCAAGATTTATTACAATTATTGATTATTAAATTAATCGCTGTAAACGTAAATCGGGTAACAACCAAAATTTGAAGATCTGAAGGAAAACTTGTAACGTGGGAGCAGGGAAGGAAATGTGAGATTTGCATGCTCATGATTAGAGTTTGAGGATCTTTATTGACTTTGCAGAGAGAGAAGAGAGTGAGGGGGGGAGAGAGAGAAAGAGCAGACCAAGATGGGATGCTCATTTTCTGGTCTGAATGCTCTGTATGATGCTGTTAATGGCGGAGAGGATGTTTGGATCAATGACAACCGTTTCAAGATTCTGAGGCAGCTTGGAGAAGGTGGGTTTTCGTACGTTTATCTTGTCAAGGAAGTTGTTGAGGACGTGGCTGGTGATGGTGGAGGTGGTGGTATCAGGAAGAAAATCAAGGACTCTTCTTTTGTTTCAGGTGGGATCTGTTTTCTTCTTGGCTTTGTGGACTTCGCTGGGTTTCTGTTCGTTTTCATGCATCATAGATTTATTTTCAGCGTAATTCATTGGTTATCTGGAAAATGAATGAATGTTTAAGAGTTCAGGAAAAATGCCGTCTGAAAATTTTAATCTTGATTAATGATCTCGAATGCCTTTTATTGTGAATTTCGTTTTGCAATTGGAAAATTCTTCTCTTGCTATGTTGGGGATGGTGGGTTTCTTTTGTTTCTTCTGAATTTTGTTGGATTCCTTTTCTTTTGTGATAGGAGGTGAATTTATTAGTATTTTCAATAGTGGATTGAATTGATAGTGTTTCTTTGGTTTTTTAATTACCAGTTTAGCAATAAAGAGAGGAAAAATTCTGGATTCTCCTTCCTTCCTCCTGTTGCTATCCTAAACAATGAGTGGAAATGGCATTTTCCTTTGTTCTAAACAATGACTTCCGTGAATCTGTAGTTTCTTCTCTCTTATGGTACTTAGATTTCCATTTTGGAATTAATAGTCAAGGACCTTGTCCATGATCTGAGTACGAAGTGCGAACTGTAACTTGTCTACTGTTGGCGTTTCTTTAATTTCTTTTTATTTTTATTTGGGTCAGCAAGATAGAATTGGGAAATGCCTTCATGGTTAAGGTGCAGTATATTCACCAATTGAGCTACAGGCTCAGGTCCAGACTGATCTCCTATTTTTGCAGATGATGGAACATATGCAATGAAGAAAGTACTAATTCAAACTAATGAACAATTAGAGTTGGTGAGGGAGGAGATTCGTGTTTCATCCCTGTTTAGCCATCCTAATTTGCTTCCACTTCTTGATCATGCTATCATTCAAGTTAAGGTAATATCTTTAATTGTCCTTTAGATCTTGCTTCTTCATAATAATCTTTTCATACGCTCAGAAGCTGTATTTACCCACCTAGAGATGCTCCTGATCTAAAATTGTGAATCTATAACTTCAGTTGTATATTGACAAATTCTTAAATCAGTTACTGATACCTGCGGATAGAGTAATGATCTGATCCTGGATATCCATTAATGGCCTGACTAGATTAACTTATCATGCTTGCTTTTGACATATGCTTTTGAATTCCAAATGTGAAAATTGTGTAAAGCCTCTGGCCTTTTTTATGAGTGGTGGATTGCATTCAAGCCAATAACAAAATCTGTAGATTCCAGATTTCTTTGTTGCATTTCTAATTTTGAAATAGCAGGTTCTTAGATTAAGCTGTATTAAGTTCAAGGTAGGCCCTTAGGTTGTCTGGTCATATTTTTCATTCTATTACATGAAACACAGCTCTTAGGCTTCACCTAGGTTTAGATATTGTTTCTTTTTTCTTTTTTTGAGAAAAGGTTTAGATACTGTTTCTTGTTTGACACGACGTGTAAAATCATAGTCAATATCTTTCTTGGAGTCTACAGTGACGACTGTTTGTGTCTGCGTGTGTGTGGAAATGCATGTCATCTGCCTCTAGATTTTATATGCCTTTCTGGAACTGATTGATTGAGACAGCTTTCTTCCTTATGCCTTTGTATTATATTTCAAGAAATGGATAGTAGCAGTATTGGTGCTTTTTGAACATAGAATATAGTATAACATGTGTCACTTAGAAAATTCATGTCAAATTCACACTTGAGTGGTGTATCACATACTCATGACAAGAAATTACCATGGAACATGGGGCATTACTCCGAGGCCAATTTGGGGCATTGAAATCTTTGAGATATGAACTTCTATAATTACAACTAGGCCTCAAACTTGTTTTTGTGGCAGGGTGAAATTTGGAAGATGAAGGAGACTGTAGGGTTGTCATTATATGGTTGGTGACTAGTTCTGATTGTCCTTGAATCCTAAGGTATCAGTTGAGAGAGCTAAAAGTGTTAGCTTCTAGCCCGAATAGTTCATTTGGGTGGAGCTTAAAAACAACCAACGATATTGCCAAACACTTGCAAGGGAAGGAGTGGGGTAGATTTTACCTTGAATGGAGATCCCTGGGCCTGGGATTAAGATCTAGTGAACAGTTTCATTTTATTTTAATTATGGATTAACACTTGCCTTTGTAGTGTCTTCTATTCTTGGATTTTTCAAGGGCAGTGGTCTCTTTTATGCTCATATTTTCACCATTAAAAACATCTCTCTATTTGTGTATTACACTGTTACTGATAAAAGAAAATCCTGGGGAAATTATTTCTCATTCTTGAGCCTTAGATTTTATATGAATGAGTTAGCACTCCAATCCTCTTTATCTTCAATTCTCTACTTGTTTGTTTTTTCAAGTTGTCCTTCATTGTCTTACTAAGATATCCTTATTGAACAAAATGACTTGATATTTTGGGGCTTCTAAAATTGCTGTAACTCTAAATCTAAATTTCCACAAGTAGTAAGATTCCTTTCCATAACCATCTCTTCTTCATTTCCTGTCATGATCTTATGTTTTTCTTTTCAGAGTCCTTTAGCTCCCTTTTAGCCCATGTGAGCAGCCTTGATCTCATCCAATCTATTTGTTCTGTAATTTTTTTGCCTGTATGTCCATTTGTTTTTTTTTTACCTTATTTTTTATCTCACATGTTTTTAATTGCTACAACTTTCTCCCTTCTTTTTATCTCACATTCTGCCCTTTTGCAGTGAGAGTTTTCCTTTTCTAAAAAAAATCTCCCCTAATAGCAAGGATGTTATTGAGTAATAGCAATGAGAATGAGCAATTTACTTTAATGAAGTGGGTCCTAGAATAGATTTACAAGAGGCTATCTACCATTTGGTGATTATGAATGAAGTGTTTATTTTATTGGCCGAGAATATCATCTTCATCATCATCTAAGCCTTGTCCCAACTATATGGTTCTTTGTACTCTTCAGTGTTGTGGCTGTTTTCCTTGGGGTTTTTCAAAAGCTTCATATCTTTTTGTAGAGGATAATTTTAATTGATTTTTTTGCCATATGTGAAGGTCCTTTTCTAGGTTTCCACCTTGACAACTATGCCATCTTTATTAGGCCACCTCAGTCTACCCTAATTCTGATTTAAAATTTTAGTGCATCAATGCATGATCTTTTCAACCTCTCTAATTCAAAATTTAATCATTATTCTATAATCTTTTAGTCTTTGTAATTTAAAGCTTAATCATTATTCTATTATCTTTTCAGTCTTTAATCTTACTCTTCATAGTACAATTTTTAGTCCTACTCCCTTGCTCCCTGATTGTTTCCTGATACTAGGGTTATGAAGAAAGTCCTACTTGAGCACTATTTTTCTCCATCTAATCAAAGATCATGTTTTTGTTTTACATGAGTAGTATAAAGACAAGTTAGATGTGAAGTGGTTAATGAATAATGCCTTTGTAAAGAGGATGATTCATGGATGATCTCTGCAGGTCTTGGAAGGTGTATGCTCCTTACTTGGGGAATGCAAACTTTATTTCCTGAAGAAACAAGGCACCCACTGATGTGCTACATTGTAGGTTCATCTTATTACTACTTTGCAATCCACATGAAGGATCCCTTCTAGGAGGGAGATCAATAAGTTCTCTATTTTCCAAAAAGTCCATCAAAGCCTTTCAACCTGTTAGAGGTTATCCTACTACAGTTACTTTTTTCCATGGGAAAAGTCAACTTGTTCAGTTAACTTGATATATTGGTGTCAGGGAGCCCACTAATCCTTTTTTAGGAAGATTTAGCACATATTACCAGTTTTAGTCCATCATGCTTTAATACATATAGACACACTTAGCAAGTTAACAATTTAGCAATTGCACTTTTGATTTAGATGTGATTTGGTCCAATAAATCAGAAAAGTAAATCTCAGATTATAGGTGAAAAGGTGAGAAGAAGAAGAGAAACTGTAGAGAAAAGGAAGAGGAAGATGAAGAAGAAAGGAGAGAAAGAAGATAGTTTGATCACTTTCTCCTCTTCTCCTCTAATCTTTTATTAAACTGAACTTAATAAGGACAATTACAAAGCTGACCTTAAATGGGCAGCCAGCTCATAATCATACATAAAAATAAAATAAGACAATTTAACAGGCCCATAAAGACAAGGCCCATTAACAAACATAACAAATAAAAACAAAAGATAACATAATGAAGCACTAGGACCCATTTGGCCCAGTCTCTACAGATTTCTTCAGTGTTAAAAAGGTCTTTGAGCTAGGGTGCGAATGGATCGGATCATGATTCGGTCCAATCTGAATCCGATCATATTTATGTCGGATTCAGATAACCCTTTGTTGGACTTTCAGATTGGATCGGATAATAGGATACGGTTGAACTCGGATCACCCCTACCTGATCCGATCCAACCTACATATGTGTGTGTACATATATATATATATATGTGAACATATTTACTTATAAAGACATGTACATATTAATATATGTGAATGATGAAAATAGTTGAAAAAAATACTTATATTTTTTGTTTTTCTTTATATAAACTGTTATGGTTTTTCTTTTAATAATTTATTAAAAATTTTGGAATTTGAATTGGATCGGTTCGGATCAGATTTGGATATCCAACATCCTTAACAGATTTGGATTTGGATTCGAATCACCATTTGTGAGATCCAAGCAGATTGGATCTTGAATATGTGCTGTCGGATTGGATTCAGGTATTCCTTGATTCAAATCCAATCTGATCCATCCCTACTTTGAGCAAGGGCTCAATCTCATAGCTCATTTGGTTGACATGTTTCATCACAATGAATAGGTCATGCTTCATGTCCATCTTCTTCAACAAGTAGAATTCTCGAGGTAAGGAGAAAAGAAGAGTGCAAGATCTTGAATTAATTTCAAATTTCTTAGTATAATTAAGAATGTCACATCCTTCTCAATAATGTACCAGACATCAAATCAGGATATGATCCATACAGTTATCTACTAAGGACATAAATAATGTTGTCTCCCCTCAACTCTAACATGCATCATGAATCCTAAAATGCCTCAAAAGATAAGTAACTAGAGATGTAAGTCAAGACAGGTTAGGGACGGGTTCAAGGCAACCCTAGCCCAATCTAAGTTGTTGAACCCCAACCCTAACCCTAACCCAACCTGATTTTTTTGGGGTTGGATTGGAATTGTGTTAGCCCAATTTCTTCACTTTATTTTGCTAAAATGTTATTACTTGTTAGCCTTAAGATGGGCAGCTTAAGGTTTACTGATTTTGTCATTATTAAATATATAAGAATAAAGTTACAATGCTTTTGGAGTACTACACTTATATCAGACCAGAAAACTTTTGCCCACAAACTTAAAATTGTTGAGTCATATTTATAAATACATTTGTTCATGGATGCATAGCTGCCTGCAGTGGCAGAGCCAGGAATGTAGCTCTGCCCTTGACCACATGCAACCATGAATGGATGCATACAAGCATAAATATGTATTTATGTAATATTTAGACATACAAATATGAAAAACATGTCGGGTTTGGGTCGGGTTGGGTTTGCCCATGGCCTCAATCCTAAGCCAACCCAAAGTTAAGTTGGGTTCATATTTTTCAACCCTAACCCTAACCCTAACTTCAACTAAACCCAACCAACCTGAATTTTTAGGTTTGGTTCAGGTTAATCCAACCCAAGTTTCACCACTATAAGTGACAATTGGTGTGTTTGCATTGTTTTCTTTCATATTATGTTTCCTGAACTTTTTCACTTCTGGTTTAATGTGTGTGTACTTATTTATTTGTCCAGGCAACACAAGAAAGATCCTGGAACAGTGAAGCATACTTGCTATTTCCAGTTCATTTGGATGGAACTTTACTGGACAATGCTAAAGCTATGAAAGAAAAAAAGGAATTCTTTTCTACTATTGATGTTCTTCAGATATTCCGACAGGTGAATTAATATGCTTGTATCCTTTGCATGGGAGCTTTCCTTCTTTCAGTTTTTCTTTTTGTAAAATTTAATTTCTGGGATTTAATTGCATGATGTGCTTGTAAATTATATCTCTAGGACTATATTGCTTGCTCTTACAGCCCAAACAGGGAAGACAGCAATTCCCAAAAACAATAAATTTAAAGACTTCTTTGCAAGGGATCTTACTCTGCAAAAGTTTGAATTCCAGAGGTTCTATTTAACTTTCCTTATTGTTTTCATATTTTCTATTTCTTCTTAAGACTGCTAGTGGTACCTAACAGTCTATTTAGACTTTATGTCATTCATCTGACATACTACTTATATTGCTTTTTCACACACTAATCTTGATTATGTGAATGTGTCACTCTTTATAATTCCTTTCACAACAGGTGTTTACCAATCCAACTTTGTATCTTGTCTTTACTTTGTTAAATTTACCTACACACAGGATCTTGTTGAAGAATTTAATTCTTCTAAAATAGTTGCTCTGTTGAAATTGTATGCAAATTTTTTTAGGGAGATACCATCGAGTATGGATGCAAGCATTTCATGGTTTGCTGTTTGCAATACTATCATTTGCATGTAATCATCATCATCATCTAAGTCTTATTCTTTGAATTGTACATTAAGAATTTCTGCATTTTAGTGTTATCCCTTTATTTATTTTTAACTTGTATGATCTGTCTGATGTTATCCTGATGTATGGCATTGGCATGAGGGCCTTTTCTGCAGCTTTGTGCAGGATTGAAGCATATGCACAATTTTGAGCCTCCATATGCACATAATGATCTGAAACCAGGTAATGTACTCATCACACACAGAAAAGGACAATCGCCACTAGCCATATTGATGGATTTTGGAAGTGCTCAACCTGCGAGGAAGCAAATTCGTTCTCGTCAAGAGGCAGTACAATTGCAGGTACTTATATCCTTTTTTTAATTGACATTTTTGCATGTCCAATATTCATTAGTAATTGTGCCTGCAGGCTTCTCTTTACCAATGTTTTCTTCTGTATCTTTATTTCAATTTCAAATTTATTGTGTTTTTTGGTTGTAGAAGTTCATCACATTGTAAACTAATAATGAACTTTGTTAATAGTAATTACCTGCACCTCTTGGTGAGCAGGCGCTATCTGGGAAATGATGATTACCTGGTCCTAGTATTCAGGTTATTTTTTCACCAAACTTTATAAAGATAGTGTTGGTGGAAATTTAAGTTACTTGGAAAGTTAGAATAGGAAACATGTTTCAAAACTTGTCTATACAAAAGAAAAAAAAAAGAAAAAGAAAATTTGTAAATGTTGCAAAACCATTGAACACATTTACTGATGTTTTAGGAAATTACATGTATATCTTTGGTATGAGATTATTTTTGTTTGATAGTAAAGTCGTATTTAAAATGTGAATGTATTGTGCTAGTGGGCTTGGAGCCATGTTTAATTCAATATGCATAAATAAAGTTGTTCTTGAACAAGAAAATCAAAATATGGGTAATGGAAAAAATAGCATGAAAGATAAACCTAAGTGATTAGGATATTATAGTTTATTTTCTTTACTTTTTTATTTGGTTTTTCATTTCAGACGAACAACTGAACAACATAAATCATGAAAGTTATCTAGGTTTTCCTTTCTTCTTGCCATCCATTTTCCTTTGCAATATTAGCATAATGTCAATGTTTTGGAGCTTTCCTTTTTTTGTTATTTGTACTTTTTCTTTTGATCAGAAACAGTAATTCATAGCTTAATTAATGTAGTAAAATATGATACTCCAGGCATTCCAGGAAATGGAATACAGGGGAAAAATACAACAGCACTAGGTTGGCCACACAAATATACTAAAATGAATGACAGCTTTACAAATCAACTTCGATGCCTTTAAACCAGACTATCCCTTGTACTTGAACTTCCCTTGCTAGAGAGTCTGCTAAGCTATTCCCTTGGGAATTCAGGCTGGTTAACAAAACTCTAGTTTAATCTGAAGGTCAAAGGAATCTCTATTCTTTAGTGATCAGACTGTAGTATTGGACAAATGCCTGATGGGTTCCTTATCTAATGGATAGTTCAAAATCCAGTTTGGCTGCTTGATTCGTCCATGTGGCAGAAATATGTGGATCATGCAAGGAAGCTCCCTACTTGACCCAATTGGGAAATTAAGCTGCTTTCCTGCACAACCTACTGTTTTTTAGCCAGGTGGAGGAATCTTGTAGCCAATGTAGGCCATTCATCAGATGTGGGACCTTTTGGATTGTCTATTAGACGAATCCTGCAGTGAATGTCAATCCTTTCCCATTATTGGATTATAGTTCTGTTTGATTAATAATAACCCTCTAAATTTTCAATTTCTTATAAGTTAATCATAAGAGAGTCTAAAACAAGTCACAAAGTTCTTTGGGATGGAATTTTTTCCATGAATCTACAATGAAGAGAGGAATCTGGAAATCCTTTTGACGCCAAATTAGCTTGCCATATTGAAGTTTCCTTGGTTGTTTATATGTGTGTGTACATCTATATGTATATGTTATTATGTATATATTTTATTTAATGCACCTTAATCTTCTGTTGTTCTCTGAACCTTGTTATGTTACTGTTAGTTCTTTATTTTGTTCTTTGTGTTTGTAGTCAGTTTTGAATTTAGGCCACTACAGTTAAGACATAGTTTTGCCTATTGTCAATCCTTAACATGCTCCAATATACTTAAATATGGTATTTTGGTGGTCTGTTGTGTAGGAATGGGCAGCAGAGCACTGTACTGCACCCTACCGAGCTCCTGAGTTGTGGGACTGTCCAAGCCACATTGATATTGATGAAAGAACAGATATCTGGTCTTTGGGCTGCACTTTATATGCAATAATGTGAGAAAAATAATTTTTTTCATGTATTTTTTTTTCCTGATAGTGATTCATCTCTATTTGACTTCCTACAAATTCTGAAGCAAGTATACATTTTTAGATTTATTTTGTTGTATATGAAGCATTACTGTGTAAATTTAAGAATCTCTTTATAGGAGTAAATATGTTGATATAAATATCAAAGCATAAATAAGTCAGCATAACTAGAAACAATGCTTTTTATATGCTTGTAGATTCTTATGTAATTCTGAGAAGCTATAGGCCCATGAACTTGAACAACTTGACACGGTGCCAAAGGGAACATTCCATGATATGAAGTTCAGGATAAATTTCTGATCTGACTGTGTAGTCACACCCATCCATAAGCTCAAATAAGGCATTCAACACTCATTTTACCTGGGAGATATCCTAGATTCTAAGGCAAAAAGAGAAATTTAATGTACGTTTCAGTGAGGATATGGTTGCAATCATCATTTTACATTATTCTAATTTGTCTTTTGATTTATAGATTCTATACGTGGTTATGCACATCTCAAAGGGGGAATAAGGGATAGGCCACATAATTTTTTGTTGATGAAGTGTGGTCCCTGTTGCACATATTAATAGTCATTAGTAATAAAAAAAGTATTAATTGGGCCATTTTCCTTCAGGAGAAGAAAAAAGATGTTGGAACCTTTCTACTTAATTTTTGACTCTAGAGATTACTCGGTGGAACCCAATTTGTGGTCAATGCTTACGCTGTGTAAGTTCCAATTCTGAATCAAGGATGGGAAATTTCAATTATTGTGTTCAACTTGACCAAAGGAAGTGGTTGAATTAATGACGATTTGTTCTTGAGTTACTTCCACATTTAAGTTTACTCTAAGGCTCATGATAGTACATCTGGAAAACCATACAACTTTGACGAGCCAAGTTAAACCCAATGTCTGAAAATTTACCTAAACTCATTAAAACATCAATGATGCCATATAAGAGCATATTAATTTCATTGTCTATCTTCATTGGTAGTACACCGACATAAATAGACAAATATTCACTGATCAGTTATGACTAAAAATAAATGATGCGGAATTTGTTCTACCAAAACATAATAGGGAACTTGGAAAAAGTCAAATTAAAGCACTGTGTTTTTAACTTCTAAATGTTGAATTATTCTTGAGATTGCAAGTGGAAGTAAAATGCTGCCAGTTTTGTACTAGAAAATATTTACTTCTAACTTTCCTTGATCACTTGTTTTTACAGGTACGGGGTATCTCCATTTGAGTATGCACTTGGGGAAGCTGGAGGAAGCCTACAGTTGGCTATTCTAAATGGACAGGTGAAATGGCCACAAGGGCCCAATCGTCCATATCCTGAGCCTCTCCATCAGTTTGTGACATGGATGCTCCAGCCCCAGGCTGCAGTTCGCCCTTGCATCGATGATATAGTTATTCATGTTGACAAGTTGATCTCAAAGTTCTCATCCTGAGACAGAGCATCATATAGAGTTGAATCAGAAAGAACATGTGAAGCACGGACCACAACTTTGTAGGCTGGGTTAGTAGTGTAAGATACCGTGCATCCTATCTTCCCTTGCATGTCAAAGTCTCTGTTGGCCCATCACAGTTATTTCATTTTTCTTATTTGTGGTTAGACATATTTTTCTCTTCATTCTTGTAGCTTTACTAAATGTGCATTGATTCAATGCTAGTATCACTTTCTCCTTCTTCATCTTTTTTTTTTTCACTTGAAATTATTTTCACATATTCTAGTGTATCAGTGCACCTATGTTTCTGTCACTCGTAAAAATAAACAAAGAGATATTTGTCCAATCCTCTTTCTTCATGTTACAAAGATTCATACTCTGGCCAATTTCAAGAAGCTGCCAGTTTTTTCTTTATTCTTCTTTTTTTTTTTTTTTAATTTCCAATGGCCATGGACTGTCCAGATAAGCTGTTAAAATATTTCATTTTTTTGGTTTCTATTTTGCTCTTTACTAGCTACCAACGGCCCATGTCTCAACGGGAACCACTGGTTATGGATGTCATGATAAGTCTTTCAGCAGAAAAATGTCACGGTACTGTATTTAAACAAGGATCATTGCAAGTCAACATCATGCTATGTTCCTTGAGTTATCTATATTGGTAATGTCTGACAAATTGTCCTCCCTCATCCTCTGCATTCACAAGTAGGCAAACTACATATTCTGAGATCCACATTCCAAACCATTTGTGACTGCTTGATGCGGCGAAGAACCTCATTTCCATGGGATGGGACAAACTTGTGTGTACAAGTCTGAATGGCTCTGTACAAGTCACATTGTCATCAAGATGGTCGAATGTTTTGCAACCCCAACATCTTCATGCTCTAGTTTGACTCAGTGATAAATGGTGTTTTAATGGGTGGCTTATGTTGGTCCCCATGTTCCAGTCCAATCGTATTCAGGAGAGATGGAGATTGGGAAGGAACAGTACAAAAGTTTCCACAGAGCGCTTTCAATTGGGACAGGACAGGGTTTCCCATCAACATGCTGAGCAAGGAAGGTGGTGGGTTTTCTATCCACAGGGACCCTAGCTTCTGCCATATAAGCGGATCAGGTAAGGTCTCCATGTGTCAAACTTTGTGGAGGAGGTGGATCATAAATTCATAATCTGTGTTCCGTCCACATGGCATCTTTGTGCTGGCTGCTAGGATTTTGGGTCGGAAGTTTGCATCCTCATACGTTGGTTAAGTCAGTTTTCTTTTGTTCTGGGTACACGTGATCGTTAGCTGTCTGCAAATCTCCAGCCACACAGATCATCTGCCTAAAGATATCCTTTTCTTTCCCCAGTGAAAACTGGAATTTCCTTGTAAAATGGCGCACCGAATTTTTATTTTACAACATAGACTTAATGGAGATTTACTACTTGGTTTGCAGTTTGCACAAAAGAATAGACAATGGACTTAATCTTATATCCCAAGTAAAAAAAAAAAAAAATCCAAACCAAACACCCCCTTCCCTCCTACAGGCTACAAGCCTACAATGTGTCATGTGTCTCTTGGCTTTCCTAATACTGCACCCATAATTTCTTATATCGTTCTGGGTCCAAACTATGAAAAATTCAGTCCATGTATTCTGTTGTTAGTTCTTTTGCCCATGTCTGCTCAAGAAGGAAAACACCGAACAGAGAAGAGGACCATGGGCTATTAGAAAGTATATGTGAACTAAATTGTCACTTGAATCATCTCTGAACCATGGGAGGGGGTTTCTCTCTTTCTTTCTATTTGTAATTAATGGTTTTCTGGAATGATAAAAATTGTTGTGTCTCCTCTAATAGCTTTTGGCCATTGATGGGTACATGATATCCTTCTTTAAGCCCAAGTTAAAACTTCATTTCCTCCTACATTTTTTTTTTCTAGCTGAGGCCAAATTATCAAGATAACTATATATATATATATATATATATATGTATATATATATTTTGGCATGTTTAAGTTAAACAACAGAGTGAGAAACAAGGGTGAGTTTGAGATTGTTCCTCCAGCTTGTGTTTGAGCTAAAAATTGAATCAATTTTGGCCTCTTGATTTCCTCTCTCTCCCCAACCTCTAGTTTTGACACATCGAATGATAGACGTGGCCGGTTAGTTGGACTCTGTCTCAGCCATTTTCAACCACAAGAACGGGTCTTATTATTGCTGATAATGCAATGAAAACGCCTTTACATCATAGCCTAGTTTTAATTTTACACATGAAGTAAGGCAGAGGGCGACTACACAAGCTTTAATTATTGCAAAAGAAAAATCTCTGTAAAATTGTTGGAGATTTTGATTCTACAAGGGACCTCATATAAGGGTGTCTTTTTCTATCTTTTATCTACTGGGTCAAGTTGGGCGGGCGCCTGTCGGGATTTTTGCTCAGTTTGGAAAGAGTGCAAATACAAATTATGTTCAGTACAAAACCTTGGTCCTTGTATATGGTATTTCTAATTCTTGTTTTTACACTAACACTGTACATATTTGTATTTGCGCTCTTTTCAAACTGAGAAAAAAATTTGAATATGGCATGCAGTGTAAAACCATCACATCAGGTACCAGACGTGCACCCTTACCAGAACTTATTCAATTGTTAGAAGCCATTTGACCATAATTAGAATCTGCTCCCAAAAAGACCTGTCCCAACATGCTTCTAACTTCATCTGTGTCCACACTTTCACCACAAGACCGAGACCCACCATGTCTGAAGATAAATTCTGTTGCTACAAACTCGATATTTTTTTCACAATAAAAAAAAAAAAAAAATCTGTTACTATTTCCGTTTCCTTTTTCCATGCTAATGCAAACATAGGCTTTGCCATTCGAGAAATGAGGGAGAGATTTTGAGCAATACTATAGTCTCTCAGCAGCTAGTGCGACTACGTGTGTTGTGGTTAGGGCTGTTAATAGATCGGATATTGGTCCAATCTAATCCAGTACAATATTAGTCCATTATATATGGACCAGATTCAATTCAATCCTTTAAATATTATGGACTGGACTGGTATAATTTAATGTCTTATTGGACTGTCCAACCTGTTTAAATTGGATTTAATTCAGATTGTATTTAATCCGATCTAAACCCATCAATGGACCAGATATTGGTTCAACCTGACCTAATTCAATATCCAATGCACTCTAATAAATACTTTGGACCATTAAATCTAGATTGATCCAATTCAATATGTCTTATTGGACCATCCAACCCATTCAAATTGGTATTGATTTGGATAGGGTCCAACCCAGACTAGGTCCATTGACACCCCTAGTTAACATCAAGGTATTGTTATTCAACTTCGAAATGGACCATTCATAAAATCAGAAATGGAAAGTTCACTGGGTCATGGTTGCACTGGTTTAATAAATAATAGATCGGCAAGTCCATACAATTATAAAAAGAAGGGTAAAATATGAAAACCTCCCCTGAGGTTTTACTTTAATAAAAACGTTCCCTGTAGTTTCACAAAAACCTACAGTTACCTCCCTTCCATCTTTGTCCTAGGGGACTTCAAAGTTACAAATTACCTTCACAACTTATTAGGGCACCTTTCATATAATTTAAAATGTCAGATTTTCCCTTCTAGAATTTACTAGATCTAACGTTTTTATAGAGTAAAATTACTTTGTTCTTTTCAATCTCACTCTGGGATTTGTTTTAATTAAAAGTGAAAAAAATTCTTTTGGGGATATTTTAATAAATTTTCATATGAATTGATAGATATAAAGGTGAAATGGGTACTCTTGAAAAACTAATGCATTTGACCAACATTTTCCATTCAATACAATAATAAAAGGGAGGTAGTGGCAGGTTTTTTCGATACTACAAGGGAGGTTTTTGTGAAAATGAAACCTAAGGGGAGGTTTTTATGATTGTCAGAAACCTTAAGAGAGGTTTTTATATTTTACCCTAAAAAGAAAACTAGTAATCTGGTATAGTAAACTTGGTTCAGTTTGAGTCTGAGAAGTGAGGACGCTATTAAGAGTTGGGCCTTATGTCATGAATGTTTCAACTGGTTCGATTATGATACCGAAAACGGAAAGACTTTATTTTCAAAAAAAAAACAGAAGAAAATGGAAAGACTTATTATGGATAAAACCATGGTTTTCAAAACCGGACCAGACCGGTCGGTTGGACTGGAAAACTGGGAACCGGTCAGGCGACCGGTTCCGTTTTCTCCAAAAACCGTTGATTTTGATCAGCGAACAGCTGAACCGGGCAATTAACCGTTTAAATGGTTTTAACCGTTTTTTATTTTTTTAATTTTTTTGTTAGAACAGGCCAAACGTTTGATTTGAACGATCGAACCGTTTGACCCGATAACCGAACCCCTAACCAGTCTGGTCACCAGACCGGTTTTAAAAACCATGGATAAAACTCTTAAACAATCATGTGGTTGTATGTATCAAAATTCATAGAGAAATTTTTACAACGGACCAAGGCAGAGAGCGAAGGAAGCCCTTATCTCATCACACGACTACATGAGAACCCAACAATCTACATAAAACTCGTGGCCCATGGGATCAAATGACAATGCTTTCGTGTGAGAACCCTAAAATCTAAAAGAATACTAAAAGAGAGAGCACTCATTGGAGGATCTGATTAATATTGGTATACATACACTTTGTTAATTGTCATGGCTGTGAGAGCGTTTCCACCCAAAAAAAAACGTGCATTAAAAAAATGAAAAACCTTAATTAGGTAATAAGGATTTGACTTATATGCTTCATTTCAAAATAAGGGTGACCATTTTTAGACCGGCCTGCAAAACCGAACCTAGAAATTCTGGACTGGGCTTGGACCTAGGTTTTGTGTTCAGGCCCATCTTGAGTCTGAACCTACATCAGGCCCCACCAGGGTCTAAAGCTTAGCTGGCATACATATTTATATATATGTTATATTGTATGTCGTATATATTCGTATTATAATAGATTTGTATTTTATATTATATAATGTATAAAATAAATATTTGACACATATTATATGCATGCAATATAAACAGATTTTATATTTAATACATTAATAGATAAAAGTTATAGGCTCGGAATCAAGTCTGAGCCTGTGCAGTCTTAACCCTGGAGCCTGAACCAAGCTGAGCCCGGGCCTAAGCTATAGCCCTTATCACATGTGCAAAGCCCAACCAGCCTGGTCTATGATCACCCCTATTTCAAAGCTCTTTGCCATCTCGTGATTAGTTACGTAGTTTATATTACACAGGGTGGTGAGCAGCAGATCTGGACTCTGGCACTTTACTTAGGGGCTTGATGGGATGCATATGCTGCAGTTCAAAACTATAGTGACAGGAAAATAGTTTAGCTGTTTGAAAAAAAAAAAAAAGACTGTTTGGGAGCTTTCTGTATTACCCTAAGTACAAAGATATTTCAATAGGAATAGAATTGGGAGAATTAGAATCTCATTTCTATTCCTATTCCCTCAAATAGGAGAATGTCATTCCAGTAGGAATAGAAATGCGAATATAGGATTCTAAGTCTGCCCAACCAAACAGTTGGACGCGACCCTTATTCCCACGAACCAAATGGGACTTAAGTGAGATAACATGTCATGCACGAAAGCTTCTTCTATATAGTTGAGACTGTATTTTCCAAATAACCAAAGTTTTCCCATAATCACCTATCAGAATGAGCTATTTTTCTTTTTTTTTTTAAAGGAAAGAAACTTAGAAAGTTTAAGGAAAAACTATCGATATAGGGCAGTAAGAGTGCTCGATCTTTAGTTAATTTTATGCTTTTTTTTTTCAGAAAAAAAAAAAAAAACAATTTCACATCAGGGGACATGGGTTTATGGTTCTAGCCAGGACCACAAAGCCTATATATGGTCTTGAAATACAAAACTCTCCCAGTTTTTAGAATTCTAGTGTTTCTCAATTAAGAAAGAAATATATTTTTTATTGATGTAAACATGTCGTCATGGGTGATGGGTGATGGGGTTGTATAATATATTCTGCATATAATAATGTCCACATGGCAAATTATTTGCTCCGAGACCACAGTATCTCAAGGCAACGCTTACAGATTCCACCAACAAAAGTCATTCCCTCATTCAGACCCAAGACTTTCTGATAGAGTACAGCCTGCATCTGCTGCGTGGTGTGTAAAGGCTTAGTTGTTTACGTAATTAATGATGAGTGAATATGCCAATATTTCGTGTGGGTTTTAGGTGTTCCCAACATTATTTGAGATTGTTTACATGGACTTTTAAAGGCCAAATCCCACCACCTTCACCTGGGATTGGTCAGATTTACTAATCATAAACGATTTAAGATCAAATCCCGCCTGTACCTGAATTGGTTGGTTGAGGGGTTATGGGTTAGGGGATTGGATACCCCCATTCTCAATGCACTGCAATAAAAGGCTGTAAGAATAGTGTGATTAGGGTTTTTTCTCTTGGGTTTTTGTTATAAGAAAGTTTTTCTCGGTTCGGAGTAGTACAGAAAAATAAAACGAAGAAAAAAAAAAATTTCCTACATGTTCTTTCATTGTCAAGATAAATAAGAATACATACACGAATAATGCTCCCACTAAAGAAGGGTAAAGCTGAAAAAAAAAATCATTTGAAATATTTTAGGCCCCGGACTAAAAGCGATTTTTAATTTTTCTTTTATTTTTTATAGTAAAAATAGACAAAAAGTTTTCATTTTCCACGTGTCAATTCAGCAAAAGAGGGATAAAAAAATGGAGTTACTCGCCTACAATGTCAATTACCAACGTTCGCATCCGCCTCCCACAACTTTGTCCCCCAAAAACGTCCCACGCGCTGTGAGTGCGCCGCGTGTCCTCTCACACGCAGATTTGAGGGACTCGTGCGGAGCTAACCGTGTGTCATCTCGCCTAAAAGGTCATCCTTCTCATTTCAGAACACTTCAACCTGGATCTTCTGTTCTCAGAACTGAAAGCCGCCGGAGATTGCTCCCTTTGAGTTCCGCCGATCGTTGCCGACGACCACTCTGGCAGATTTATTTACCGGAGGTAAGTTTTTCTCATTTTTTATGTTTTTTTTTTTTCTCATTTTTGCCGGAGTGAGAGTCCCCTTCCAGTTCCGCCGGTCGACGCCAACAAGTCAGAATCGCTGCAACATCTGCAACTCTATCTCTTCCATTGACCAAAACCAAAAATCTACCTATGTTGGTAAAATCTCCCAGACTTCACTTGTAAACCAAACCAAAACCAGCCAACAAATTCAAGATGTGGCTACTACAAAACGAAACGGAACCCATACCCTCAGTCCCTCAGAGAAATAACAAATTTTCATATTTAGCAGCAGAACCATTTCCTTCAAAAAGAAAAAAAAAATAATAATAACAAAGGGGAAAAACTTAAAGAACACTCGCCGAAAAAAATATAATAAATAAAAGGATAAAAGCAAGGGTTCCATTTAATGCAACTGTGATGGATGAAAAATAAGTAGCACACAACAAAGCATACAGAATCACCAAAAAGAAACCATTTTGTAGACAGTCGATGCAGTTACCTGCAACTGTGACCGGAGAATTATCATCTTTGGATTTAACCTGATTATTGCCCTTGGAAATCAAGCTCTCCTGCACCCTCTGACAGAGAAAGCAAACCATTTAGACGGTTCTAACAGCAACATCCAATTCTGTTGGATATTCCTCTGTTTCAGAGGATATAATCCCCAACTTTTCGTCCTCCATGATCGATGGAGAAGTTCGATGAAAACCCGAAAGAGAAGCAGCGTTTTCTGAGAGACCCACCTTGATGGAAGAGGCGGCTAGGCAGCATTTACTACTGGATAATAGCAGAACGCCTACATGCTTGGATGTGAGATCATTTCTTCTCACTACCAAATTATGTGGGAGTTGTGTTGCGTGGCTTGCACAGAATAACGGCATCAAAGACTCCCCTTTCAATCAATTTAAACTATCTTCGCCTACTCGAAAGAAAAATCTATTTTTTTTTTTCAAATAACAAATCGGTTGCTTTTGATTGATTATGTGGGTTTTGAAGCAAGAAAAACAAACGGTAAAATGGGTTCATGAAAACTGAGAAAATGGATATAACAGGGGACCTGTAACAAGGTATTTGAGTGGACATATTCTTCGTCGTTTCTCGCTGTTAAAAATGCTTTGCTTTCGGAACGGTCGTCGGCGTCGACCGGCAGAGCTCAAAGGGTTGAAATGTTCTGAAATGAGAGGGATCACCTTTTGGGCAAGAGGACACACGTTTAGCTCCGCACGAGTCCCTCTAATCCGCGTGTGGGAGGACACGCGGCGCACTCACAGCGTGTGGGACGTTTTTGGGGGGCAAAGTTGTGGGGGGCGGATGCGAACCCCCTAGGGAGCGAGCCTGCAATAAGTGATTCCAAAAGGCCAAAGCATCAAAATGTTTGGGCCCCATGAACCTCCACTCAGCTTCTAGGGCCCACTTGAAAACAGCGGCAACCACAAGATAGAGGGCCAGCCCTTGTCATCCTCTAATATCTTGCCACGTTTCACCCTCTGGATTCTCCTCTCTCCCTCACTCTAACTACTCTCGCTTGCTTAATAGTAATACTCTTCACACTACAGTTAACCAGCCCCTCACTCCCCGCCACTACAAAGTTACGACTCCATCGTGAACAGAACACAGCAGACACAGAAGCGAGACAGACAGAGAGAATTCATTCAGGTTTCTTCAGACTAAAAAAGGAAGAAGGTGAGAGAAAAAAAAATAATAAAAACATAGCAAGAACGACAAAAGAGGATGATGATAAAGGAGGAGGGGGGTTCCGGCGGAACTGGAGGAGGCGGCGGTTGGGCGCGTATGTGTGACTCATGCTGCTCTGCACCATGCGCAGTCTACTGCCGAGCTGACTCCGCATACCTTTGCGCCGGATGCGACGCACGCATCCACGATCAGGTGGTGTCGCAGCACGAGCGCGTTTGGATCTGTGAGGTCTGCGAGCGAGCTCCTGCAGCTTTTACCTGCAAGGCCGATGCTGCCGCCCTCTGCACCACCTGTGATGCCGACATACACTCCGCCAATCCGCTCGCTCGGCGTCACCACCGGGTTCCCATACTCCCCATCTCTGGTTGCTTGTATGGGCCTTCGGGTATGAACCCCGGTAGGCCTGTGAGGCCTGAGATCAATATAGAAGATGAGTTCATGACCCAGGAGGCTGATGAAGAAGATGAAGATGAAGCAGCATCTTGGTTGTTGCTTAACCCTGTAAAAAACAACAACCAGAACAATAGTGGGTTGCTGTTTGGTGGGGAGGTTGATGAGTATCTGGATCTTGTGGATTACAATTCTTGCACTGAGAATCAGTATAACGATCACTACTATCAGCAGAATCAGTGCAGTGTTCAGCAGAAGAATGAAGGGAGTGACAGTGTTGTGCCAATCCAGTGTCTGGCAGTAAAGGAGAATCAACATAATCTTCAGTTAGAGATGGATTATGAGGCTTCAAAACCTGGGTTTAGTTATACTGCTTCACTTAGTCACAGTGTAAGTCCTTTTATATAATTATATATAGTGGGGCAATTTCTATGATGGCCAAATGAAATATTGGGCTCTTCATCCATCTTCTCTCTTCGCCGATTAAGGAGAAACAATCTAGTTCTGTATATAATTTCTTAATTTTGTTATTTGGTTTTGCATCCGCATCTTTCATTCAAATTATTTTCCTAGGTTCTTCATATTAATTTGCATGGTTAGCTCTGACTTTCTGCTCTTTACTTTTCCATTCCTCTTTCATTCAATGAAACTTTATGTTCTCTATGAGTTGTTTCATGCAATAAATGAATAGTCTTTTCAATTTATAGAATTCAGTTATATTTTTAGCCAGATTGAGTTTTTCTGTTACAATTTCTTTTCTATTTTTCCTTGTTGATGAATTTGTACGAATTTTGTTTTGGTACCTTTGGCTCTTTCAATAGATTATCTGTAGTTGTTGTGCTTTTTTGACATAAACTGAAGAATTACACTTTTCTTGTCCAGTTTCTCCAAATGAAGATATTAAAATTTTATTGTGAATTTCCTCATGTTTTTTAATAAAAGTTACTAATAATCAGTTGCATCAATGGGTTCTTCATTATTGTTAAACAGTAATTTTTTTTTCTCATTATATTGTCTCGTGCCTTGGTCTTCTCATTGCGTATAAAATTTGCTATTCCTAATGGCTTAGCTACAAGTCTAATTAAGTTTGTCTTTTTTGGGTTTTTGTGTGATTTTACAATCAGGTCTCCTTCTCATCAATAGATGCAAGTGTGGTACCAGATGGTATAATGAATGACATATCAAACTCACATTCTAGACCACCCAAAGGAACAATTGACCTCTTTTCAAGTCCCCCCCTTCCAATGCCACCCCAATTTACTCCCATGGACAGAGAAGCCAAAGTCCTCAGATATAGAGAGAAGCGAAAAACAAGGAAGTTCGAAAAGACAATTAGGTATGCCTCAAGGAAGGCCTATGCAGAGACCAGACCCCGAATCAAAGGGCGGTTTGCGAAGAGAACAGATGTAGAAGTTGAAGTGGATCAAATGTTCTCTACCACTGTACTTGCAGAAAGTGGCTACGGCATTGTTCCATCATTCTAACTTCGAGAGGGGCAAAGGAGAAAAAAGATCATGTCATCTATGTATCTGAGAAGAGTGAGTTTCTATTAGCACCATTACTATTATGTACCTTCCTCGAGGCAAGTAGTTTGGATGAATTAATGAGTGAGAACCATGCAGGTTAACTTCTGTAAATTCTCTTCTCTGTGCCCTATTGTAAATACATAAGAACTTCAGTGCTTGTAATCTATAGCTTTTGCAAATACTTTTTACCTTTGATTATCACATCAATTTTATATTTTTGTTTGGTGTGGAAGAAAGGAAGAAAAGGTCATAGAGGGTTAAAGGAGTGTCAAATCTATTCCCATAGTGATCTTTAAGAAACCCCACTGCACTTTTCACCACTTTCCACTCGGTGAGAAAGATGCTCAAATTTTACCAACCGGAAAAAGAATATAAGACTGGTAATTACTAAAGCTTGGTATTGAAACATTGCTTTTAGAAGACATAAAAAATTTATGTTTTGATTTATGCCGACCAATTAAGAACGAGTCTCATTTCATTTGACGATGCCATTTTTGTTCTGTAACTGTGGCAACTAAGGTTCAAATGACCACTGTTGGAGACTATTTCAACTCCACGAATGGAGAAAAGCCATGAAATATGTGAAAACCTGTGGAAGAAGTTCAGTTACTTGAAAAACATGTGAAAGACATTCTCTCCCAAAGATACGTGCGGTAGAAAATGATAAGGGTAAATATTTACAGACATGACCTATTACAGCATCTAAGAGCTCTACAGGACAAACCATAGAGTCTCTGTTATATGAATTGAATTCAGGCTGTCGCAAATTTACCACAAACATTCTGGAAGAAATTAAAGAAGAGCACAAGCCACCAGATGATGTAATACCAATAGATAATATTGATTTTGGCCTACGATCACCCATTTATGGCTTTTGGTTAGTCTATCTGAAAGCTTTGGATCTCAATGGCACCAAAAAATCTACACCATCCCTATTTCCTGCACAACATTTATTCAGTCTATATGTGAATGTAATGTAATACTTGAGAATCTTCCATTAAAATTTCCTGCTGAAAATTCTGTTTGACATTGGATTCAGTTTTCACATAACTTTCATATTTTGATATGAAAAGATATTTAGTTTTTTGCAACTCATCAACTAAAGACAACAATAGTTTGTCGAGGTGAATATTGATCATAACATAATCTTGAAGCAAAATGGTCGAGACCTCAAGAAAAGGTCAATAAACTTCGGGGTGTCTACAATCATTCATCTGTATCTGCCATATCAACTGTTGACATTGCAGCTGAAAACATGAAGTGTCAAATCTATGTAATTGACTAATCGTTTGGATCATGTGTACCAAAGTGTCTTTGCTGAAAATCCATAGCTTACCATTTGCAACAAAGAAAAATAATGTTATACAGTATTCATTGAAGATAGTAAGTAAGTAAGTTATATTAGGGATATGTTAGCTTCCACCTACTTGAACTATTCTTTAACCTAATCTATTCAGCACTGAAGAATCTAACTTGATCTCACTTTTGAAGTCAAAGAAGTGCCCGTTTAGAAATCTATTAATTAAAAGCTATCAAGCAAATCCTACCAAAGTTTCTCCATTTTGGAACCCTTTAACCAAATTTCAGCTTTATATATATATAGTGAAGATAGTTTCAGCCCCTCTTTTTGGGGCCTCAAACCAGGTGGATAAGGCATTTGTCATTCTAATTCTCATAAGAAAAGAGTACGTTCTTTACAGGGTCAGATTGAGCTACTGCTCTGTGTTACTGTAATACATGATGATGCATGCTTGCATAATCTGTGGCTCATCTCTCTAGATGGTTCTATGCCTTTTTCTCAATTACTTTGATGAATTGCATTACACAATAGTCTTGGTTTGGAGTGGAAAAAGAAGAAAAGCTCATTGGTATCTATTTGAATATAGTCAATAATCAATGGTGATCTTTAAGAAAAAGTCCTCTGCGCTTTTACACCGTTTAGAGGGAAAGGTAAGAGAAAAAAGGAACAAAGTTTCAGCCACATGGAAAGGAAAGGAAGGAGTGGTGCTTGCAGCTTGCTGGATGGGATGGGCCTTAAGGTACTCTGATTCTCTGTTGCCCTTTTCAGCTATTATTCGAGCTTTTGAGTGCTTTTGATCTTTTGGTTGGGCCCCAACTCCCAAGTGACCCTGGGGCCATGTGCTTTTTCGCTTTAAGTATCAATTCATGCACTGCCATTGGCTAGCCTCGGTGCTTTATTCACTCATGGAGCATGGTCTCAGCCTAAGATTCCTACTTTCTGGTTGAAAAAGTTTTCAAGGACAGGGAAAGAAAGGAATGAGCGAGCATTCATGTCTCAACAAAAAGAGATATGAGCTTTGTTTGCTGAAGATACGTTCGTCACTGAGCCGTCGGACCACAAGTCTGCCAGGTTTTATGGCTTTTTAATTTTTATGATTAAATTGTCTTGTATTCAATAAATGCATTTTACTTGGATAAGTAACTTCCGAAGAGCAAAGGGTGCCACAAAAGTTGTGATTAAAAGTTGCAAATTCTATTATTATAGCAGCTGCTTCATGAGAGATTGCATGTCAACGAGACAAAGCTAGGTAGAGGCGTCCAAAGGTTCTCCTCCCTAGCTAGTTTTACAATTTTCCATCCACAGCTTTCCTCCAAAGGAGGGAGGAATCTTCGACTGGGTTGTCCACAGGCCACATCATATCCGAATTCCCTGCAACCCTTTATTAGGAGAAGTATGCCCCACAGCAAACACTTTTACCAAATTACAGCCTTAGCCTCTCTGGGTAATATCTTTCTCCTTCTGAAATATGCACGTTGTTTCTCTTCTTTAACTTGAGCTTGGTTTGGTTATATGGAAATGGGAATCCTTTACAGGGTAAAGGACAGAGTAGCTTTTTTTTTTTTTTTCCAGAGAGTTAAGTAAAGGTCATCCATCTCTCACTCATCAACTTCTCGGATAACCTTTGGAAAAGTTGATGTTTGCAGCTGACTTTCGCTACTGTTATTAAAGAGGAGACGGTCCACCTGAATTTATACTACTTTTTTTTTTCTATTTTTTGGAAACAAGGACGCGTGGCCTTGTCATCCACCGTGAATCCAACCCTTTAATTCTAGTAATCTTTTTTCGTTTTTGCTACATGGAGTTCTGTGAACTATCGTGTCATGCAAGTAAAGCTCTATGCTGTCAAATTTGGACAGCCAAAATTTTTTCCGAGAAACTTATGCCTACTACCTCTACAGGCTTCAAATTGCACCCTTCTCTGTAAGGTGCCAGCTAATCTCACTGGTAAAGGGCCCATTTGAGAGGTCTGAGCTGAAGTTTTGGTTAATGGTGAAAGTCGGAGTCAGAAGAATTTACACTGTGTTTGGACCCGGGTTTTCTGGCCCAGCCCATTCAAATTTTGATAAATTCAAAACCGGAGCCCAACCAATCTGCACCGCATTGACAAGTGGCTGTACTGCTTAAGAAGTCAGAAGTCATAATCTTGGCAAGGTGCTCTGAATAATTCAAAAAGACTGAAGCCCACAGCCCGTCAACTGGCTGATCGACAGCTGATTTAGCTCTCTGGATTTATTTTACCAAACATAGCTTATAGGCTGTCTGTGGACAGCCAAAAGCCACTGCACTTTTCCACTTAGGGTGAGAGCTCTGTGAGTCTGGCGGCATAAACATAAAAATGGGGCAAAACTAGAAAGTTTGGACTTTGGATCATTATCCATATTTCAAAATGAACCCAGCTACATAGATACGAATAAAATGGCAAATCTTTCTATTTGGACTTTGGATCATTATCCAAGCTCTTCGCCTTTTTTTGTGAAGTTGAGTGTAGTTGTTCTAACTTTCAAGGAGGGGAAGGGCGGGTGGGGCTAAAAGCTGAAAGTCCATTGTGTGAAAAGCTTCTAAATGGGATCAATTAAAATTAATCATGTAATCAGGAGGGTAAGCGTTCTGTGGCTCGTCTTGCTTGAGATCATAGATGATTGGTGCTGAACTTTAAAACATGCTTCATTGGAAGCACCTCCATTAATTAACGTAACAAAAGCATGGGCCACTTGGGAAGCTCTAAACATCACCGTCAATTTCAAGGAATTTCCCGTTGTGATCAAAGAGAATTCGAAACTCGTCATTAACTGCCTCAAAAAGTTCATCGAACAGCCGTGGAGATTAAGGAATGTCGTAGCTTGTGCTTGTTCTTGCCCACAGGTGTCCGAGTGTCTCATTCATTCGTTCGTTTCAAGAAGCAAACCAAACTGCTGATTGGCTACCACGGAATGCTTTGTCTGGTGGGAGTGTGGACCTAAGGTTTATTTGTTTGTGTGACTTGTGTAGCACCTCTCGGCTTATGGCAAGTCTTTTTTCCTGGTGTGGATTTTGTTAAACATGCATTGCCTTTACCCTATAACAGACAAGAATGTGGATATGAATCTATCCCATCATATCCCATTTTTTATCCAACTTGGATCTAATTTTTCCTATTCAGGTCTAAAGCTCCAATCCAATTCAATCCGTTCAAGATCCACGTCCACCTGTTGTGAAATTCATGCACCAGCTCCAATAGTTTTACATTATTCTAAACCAACATTTAACCAAACAGGTTTTGTAGTACTAAGATCACCAAGTATATGTTTGGCATCGATTCTGTTCGGTGCTGTAAATGTGTGGGTTGGAAGCACCATTTTCTGAAAAAACGGTGTCTTTTTTTTGTTTGGAAACGTTACTGTCAGGTAAGAGGTTTCTTGGGGCAACAGCAACACCTTTTGTTTGGTACCAGTGCTCTATATCTGTTTTCAGCACTGGTACCCATTATAGGAAGTCCATGTCATTAGAAAGGCATTGGAAAGGCAACCCAACCCAACTATTTATATCTTCCCAGAATCCCAGTTCCTGATCATTTGCAATTAATATACAGGTCTCTAGAAAACGTCTATGTGCCTAACAAAAAAGAGGGAGGAAAAAGCAGTTCCTGTAATAATCATATTCATATATATGAGATGAACAAAAGCAAGAAACATGCAAGTTGACGGTATTCATTAAGTAATCATCAAATGCAAAAAAAAAGAAAAAATAGATAAGTTGAAAGGGGGGAAATAAATTATCTAGCATATGCAATTGAATTCCTTCAGGCAAATTGGGAAAGAAAAATATAAATAAATAAACAATCTAGATCGTCCACTGAGACCATTTTAAATACACTAAACTGTAATGCCCTCATTTACAATTAAATGGAGTGATACGTGCAAATCAAAACCCAGACCAATCTAGATCCCCCACAAAGTTGGGCTCTCTGTCGAAGCCTAGTACAACAAAGTGTTACAAATTCAAGTTTCCTTACAACTAATACCTAGGTAGTCAATTGTGCCGACAAAAACTAAGTACCATGAAAAAATTCCCCCACCCCCAAAGAAAAGAAATAAAAAAAAAAATCACTTAGTTCCTAACGATACCAATGTGCTTCCACGTCTTCTCAAAGATATGAGCTTCCTTCAAAGGACTTCTGATGAGAACTGTTTTCAACATATCAAACATACATGTTGAAATAAGAAAGTGGAGATCTGTAAAGTTTGGATTAGCTTTCTGAGGAATGAAGAGGTTCTTTCTTTAGTCCCTCAATAGCAAGTGCAAAGATAATTACTGTGGTAAGAAGTGGGAAGTTGCAGAATTGAAAGCCAAAAAACAAAAGTAATAATATTAATGATGGAGATCATAAATTTGTTGAGTACCTTTTAGGCACATTTGACTATCCACCAATCCTGTTTGGGTCTCAATCATCATGTTCATTATCGTTTTCAGAATCTGCATGTGATAAAAAGAAGTGTTTCAGGGATCAAGGAATGAGATAGTTACATTAACAACTGTAAAGTGGAAAGTTTTAGATACTAACAACAACCAGTGCAAGTTTAGTAAAATAAATCCTCCACCATCAAACATTTGCTGTGTGGTATCCAGTTATCCCAGTACAATGCACTTATCAAGGTGCACCAACTATATCATAAGTAACCCACCCCGGATTCAGTCTATCTAAATTTCATTCTCATATTTTGTCCCATAATACTGATACTCAGCTTGGAAATAAGTATCTGATGTCAACAATAAAAAATTAAGTCTTTTGTAATTCAACTTGCAAATACTCTAATCTTAGAATTTGCATATGAGCAAACTTGTGCACACTTTGAAAACCATCAGAGACTTGTCCTACATACCAGATCGAACATCTTCACTAATCTGGCCTCTGGCTTGGATTTGTTTTACAAGCATCCGGAACATCAATATCCACCAATAAATATGAAGAACTAGCAAAGAAAATAGGAGAGAATTGAACACATAATAGTAGATGGGGCCCTCTTTCTTGTGTTTCTCCTTGTCAAATGTTAGTAAAACTTCATAGCTGTGAAAAGAAATAGTCAGAATACATAGGATTAAATTGTGCTTTGTGCACCACAAACTCCACAAGAAAGAGAATAGGAGAAAAAGGAAAATGGAGAAAAACAATTAGCAAAAGCCTTTGTTCTTCATCGCTAGTTTCCTATCTCTTAGTCCCTAGTCAAAAGTATCAAGGTGACAAACTGACAACAGTGAAAATAATTCTCTTAATATAATTAAATACCCTCTTCCACTTCACTATAAAGATTAACAAGAAAATTAAAAATTATTCTTCTTTGTAAACAGTTTCAAACAATCAAGCAGCTCAAATATCAAAAAGAAGAATTAAGTATTTCTAGTAAATGGTCCCACATAGGCACTACCATGATACTGCCCTTTAGTTATCATCTTTGTAGACCCCAGTTAGCTGTCAAGGATCTTTATTAGCATAATGACTACTACCTATAATAAGGGATCAAAAATCTTTTTCTTTCTATTCCGAAGATAGAAGAATCAAACTTTTCTTAAACAAGAGAAGGACGAATAAAATAAATACAGAATTCTTAGGAAGCATCAAACAATTAACCATCATGATGGAGAAATAATGCTGGTGAGAATTTGGCTAGCAGCAACTGAAAAATCATGAGGATAACATAAATGTCTATGGGAAAGTTGACACCATACTCCATCCCCAAATGTTTGTTTAGTCTTAAGTTCAGTATGGACTTCTTTATACAGAGTGTAATAGGAAATAGGTATTAATGACTTAGCATTTTCAGCTTCATATTCTATGTGGAGCCTAATGGCACCTAGCTGGAATAAGCAATAATAAACAAATGAGTTTTGGGTTATGTGCACAACCCAACAACTCTCCCGATTTCCAATGCACCAGTCAAGTACAAATGGTTCCCAAGGAAACTACCACAGTACCAAATACCACCATAATGATACTCTAAAGACATTCTTCTTTTTTTCATCCCAAATGGTTTTCGGAAATCAAACGAGGCAAATGTACAAGCTTGATTGAAAACTAATCATTGTAACTTAGCAAATTCTATTAGTTGGCTCAATATAAGCATAGACTGTGATGTTAGCAGTTAGCTGGTACTACAAAGGAGATTTTAATCATGCCAATGGGTTGCTGTCATCATTCAGAAATTACCAAAGAGAAGCCAATTATCCAGATAAGGGGCCATTTAATGGATGAAGTGACTGAACTGTTGACTTACGCTTTTAGTGGATAAAATATTCAAGGATATAGTATCAACCCAATAAGCCATTCAGTTCACATCATTCACTTCAGCTATAATCAAACAGTCCCTAACTAGACTAAAAGTTTAAAACAAGATCCAATTACATTACTTCCCCTTGCTATAATAATTCTTTTTATGGCTGTTTCAATTCCCTAGTCCATTCATTTCTAATTATGTCAACATTCCTTTTATGACTAATTTTTGCATTTCTTGTTGGCTCACCTTTTCTACCACTATATGGAAGAAAGTATGACAATTAATACAATAATTACAGTAAACTACACCAACCTTGTACTCCGAAGTATCCAGAATGGATAGTATATGAGGCGAAGTATGATCCATTGCAAGACAAAAATAATGAAAGAAATGCTAGCAATCCTTTCCCAGCCACTATATTTGGACATCTTTCCAACTTCCAAAAACACATCACTTGCATCATGAAGAGCTAAAACAACTGAACCAACACGAGCAAAGCTGCAACAAGGTGCAAAATGTTACAATATAGAAGTAGAGCAATACAAGGTACATTCTGATACAGCGGAAGGGGAGTATTGATACTTTAAACCTAATGCATTTTATTTTATTTTTTAGCTTTATTTTCAAATTTTGGGAGGGGTGGAAATAATATAAATTAACATTTAAAACAACGCGTTTTTTAGAAAAAACTATAAAAGCAATGTATTGGTCGGTATGGGCCAATACGTTGTGAAATTTTGATCCTTGGAGTGATAAAACATCTTACTAAGCCATGGCTTTCTGTACTGTAAATATAAAATCAAAATTTTTAATATCCAACAAGAGTTGGAATCTTTTCATATGTAGTTTTTTATGCATGCAGTTAAACAGACAGTAAGGACTTGGGATAAAACCATTCCCAGTACATATTTTTTCGGTAAGTAAGCTGAAATTGAACTTTGACATCATGGATGCACTGTAGAACCTCAGGCATGGAAAAGTACCTGAGTATATAAGATAACACAATGAGAATAACAGATGTAACATGATGAGCCATTGACACCCCAAAGTCTGAACGTCTTGTTTCCCAGAAAATCAGAGCAAATATCGAGTATGTGTAAAATCCGGCAGCATACATGTACAAGCCCTTCAATTTCAATCTAAGCACCAGAAAAGTGGTCAGTCAGCCAACACCATGAACAGGACATGCTCCTCTTCACAAATTATGTTAAAAACAATTAGGCTAGCAGAAAGAAACTGCATGAATTTAAAGCTAGACATGAAGCCTATCCTTGAAAAACCAAGAAGGCAAAAGAATCAGGATACTATAGAATGAAGTATGGGTGCCACAATGAACGGCTTCTCCAATTTGAACAGAGACAAAAAAAATATCCTCTTAACAATAAGATGAGAAAAAAGGACAGTTGCTGCCACACTATTGGAGGGAGACTTAGGAACAGTATTTTCTTCTTTTTCCTGTTTGAGCATGGATAGATTTATATAAAAGAGGGAAAAACTCATAAACAGGCTTGAGTCTTACTTGATCTTTTGATCAGGCCAAACTTGATCTCCAGGCCCTACCCAAAAATATCTGGTATTAGTGAACCAGGGCTCATTATACGTAACAGCCAGAGCAAAAATCTCTGCTGAAAGAAAATAAACACATTTCCATGCTGACTCCTTAAATTTCTTGAGCTTCTTCCTCCTCTCTTCTACCTGAGCATCCACTATCTGATTCCCCTTTCCAAGGATGAGTCGTCTTGCCAATTTCTACAAGAAGCATGCACATCCAGTCCAAACTAAGCAAGAAATCCCAAAGAGACAAACATAAGGAAATAGTAAACAGAACGGTAAGGGGAAAAGACACTACATCAACTGTATAGAAAGTAACCTTACTTTGATGCAGAATTTAATTTCACGATTAGAAGGGATGAGTGAACTTCATAAATAAGTTATCAATAAACAAGATAGATATAACAGATTACTACAACCAGAACCAATTGAGTATAGCAATCACTACTCAATCCAATAAGGAATATGAAAACTGATATGGTGGAAATGCTACTAGGATATGCTTCTTCCAATGTTATGTACTAGATTACTGGCCTCTCCCAGGAAAAAAAAAAGCAATTAATTTTTTTTTCATCCAGCAAAGTGGTTTTGTTATAGATAATTCAGGATTTGAGGAAAACAAAACATCTATATGTTAGGAAAAAAAATTACTAACATGACTTTCCAATCTAAAAATAGGGCCTAGTCTTATCCCAAGGAGAATCTTAAAATGTTTATATAAATTATAAGAAGAGCAAAGTACAAAATCATCATTACCTAGAACAAGAAGAACAAAGGAGAGAAGACCTCAAAAGGCCATTTTAACAATAAAAATTCCTCTATAAATGAACAAGCCAATTGGGCAAATGGAAGTCCATAAAGAGGAGTTTCCATGGTCACTTAGATGAAATGATAACCATGTGCCAAGCCATTAATTTTTATTAAGGTCAAGAGCAGTCACATAATTAGCGGAAATGATGCTCCTGTGAGTAGTTTGTCCATATCTTGTGCATTTGTGCACATTCCCTTGTTTGCCTCCCTGCTTTTGATATACAAAATAATCCTGCTATCATTTCTCAAAAATGGAGGGAAAAGGAAAAAAGAACTGAAATTCCACCTTTAAGGAAGTAAACTATGTATTTGTCAACATCGTTCCAATTGCAGATCCCATAGGGAACAAAAAGAAAGAAAAGAAAAGAATAGTCACCCTACAGCTGAGCAAATGTAATTCATACCACTGGAACCATGTATTTGTTGCATCTCTGAGTGTTCACCTGTGTGATATAATGAGGGTTAAAAGAAAATGCTTCTTAAAAAAAATATCATCCACGTTAGTGCACAGCAGAGGATTGACAGTGGGGTCAGGCAAACAGAAAACAGATCTGACCCCAACAAAAAAATGGGTTAGAGTTGAGGCCTCAGAAAACCCAACCAGAACCAAAACCTTTACATGTATGATGCTAATATAACTAATATTGTAATGCCTATGACCATGGAGTCAATGATGAACTAGATTGGTCCCACTAAAGTGCAATAACCTATGGTGGACCTCTTATCCACTGAGGATCCTGCCCGATCTGCACCTTGAATATCCTTCCAACACCAACTCACCAACTCACCAACTCTCCCCTTTATTATATAGCAACCCATGGCCCGGGGAATCTTTTAGATACCTTAACACTCTAATAACACCATCCCAATGAATAATCCTGGGATTCAGCATGAACTGACTCAACACTCTTACACTAAAAGAAATGTTAGGTCTAGTAATGGTGATATAAATTTCCCACCAGTTTCTTGTATCTTCCAAGATCACTTAATGGCTCCCTTGACTAGTATCTGTCTTCATATTAGGATCCATGGGTGTCTCAACTGGCTTGGCTCCTAACAACTCTGTTTCATCTAACAAGTTATGACAGAGAGATCCCCCACTTCGACCTTGCTACTTCAATCCCCCAATAATTACTTTAAAGTAGACCTGTTCACTAGCCATGTTCGGGCTAGGTTTTGCCTCTATATCAATAAAACACATTCAGGCCTAAGCCCGAACCTGACCCAACCATTGGCCTAGATCTTGAGACCAAGCCCTCATATAAAGCCTGAAGCTTGACGATAAGCCTGAAGCCCAGCCAGGAAATTGAGAAAAAAGATTTTTTTTAACTCAACAACAAAACTGATTTATTTATATTAAATGACCTAAAAACCCAAAAATATTGAAAGATCTCACTATGACTTGAGAAAAGAGAAGATGAACAAAGCAAAAAATATTATATAAAATATATGTTTCGTTATACAAAATATATTTTTTATTATATAAAATGGTATCAAGTCAAGCTCAAGTGACTGAGCCCGTTCCATAAAAAATGTGGAGCCTAGTGTTTTGGGCCCAAAACCAAGCATGCAAACCTAAATTCATGTCCAAGCCCAACTAAGAGCGGTCGGTCGGCTCGTCCCATCGGGTTACCTAGCCCATGAACATGTCTACTTTAAAGAGCCTAAATCTTTGGTTTGAAAGTGTTGTTGAAGTAATTGTTTTAACTCATTGATTCCCTATATGCCACTCTTTGCAATAACTATGTCATCAAAGATGACATATTTCTAGTGAAAATTGAGTGGTCAAAACTACACTAACATAGACCAAAATTCTGCACCACACTGCTAAATCAACTAAGTCAGGCTTGTGGTGATTGCTTCAACTCATAAATAGCTTTCCTCAGTCTACATACCTTTCCTACCTCCCCCTAAGCAACATACCTAGGAAGTTGCTCCATATATACTTCTTCTTGGAGATCACCATGAAGAAAGACATTTTTAATACCAAGTTGAAACAAAAGCCAATCAAAGTGTGTAGCCAAGGGGATAAGTACGCACACAGAACCCATTTTAGCCACTGGAGAAAAGGTATCTGAATAATCAACACCATATGTCTGTGTGTGTAACCCTAGGTAACTAGTCAAACTTTAAACCTCTCAACACTACCATCCTAACAATGCTTCATTATGTACACCCATTTGCATCCAACAGCTTGCTTTCTAGGAGGTACGGAGGTGAGGTCCCAAGTGTGATTGGATTGAAGAGCATAATATTCTTTGTCCATCACCTCCTTCTAGTCAAGGGATGTAAGAGCTTCTTGGACAGAATGAGGAATGAAAACAAAAGAAAGACAAGGCACAAACTTTTGATAGGTAGGAGACAAGTGAGCAAGGGAAACATAACAAGAAATAGGATGATCAGTGCGAGCACATTTACCTTTATAAAGAGCAATGTGGAGATCTAGGTCAGATGGTGAAGGATCTATTAATAGCAAATGCACTATTGATATATCATAAGCAAGAGCTAGCACTAAGCTGAAACAATTGGCTCCTGTTTAGATGGTGAAGGGATGGCTCTTGTTCACGTCTTCTGTACACTTTGCGAATCGATGATCATATAGGCTCCTCAAGTGTAGGGAGAGGAATGACCATGACACTAGTAGCAAACGGGAGAGGAACTAAGGGTGATGGTTTCCTTCCAAAGTAGAAGAGAAAACCATCAAAGAAGGTAACATCAAGAACAACAAGGGATTGAAAGAACATCATAATACATTCCTTTCTAGATATGTGAATAACTAAGAAACATGCACCTAATAGCCCAAAATTAAGTTTATTAAGACCTAGACCCAACTTGTGCACAAAATAGACACAACCAAAAACATGAGGCAAAGAGAAAGGTAACTCAATAGGAAATAAGACAAAAAGGGGATTTCCCATCAAGAATAGAAGTGGGCATGTGATTTATCAAACAATAAGAAGTGAAAACTACATTATTCCAATAAACGTTAACGGCCAACATTTGTATCAGTAAAGCATGAGTTGTTTCAATCACATTGCAATTCTTCCATTTAGCCACATCATTTTGTTGAGGTGTATATAAACAAGAAGACTAATGAATAATGCCAGGAGAATCAAAATAAGATTGGAAACTACTATGAAAATATTCTTTGGCACTATCGAAACAAAAACACCTTAAGAATAACACCAAATTGATTTCATATTTCAGCATAAAATGAAACAAAAATAGAGTACAATTCTAAAAAATCTTTCATTAAATAAAGTCATGTCGTCCTTAAGAAATCATCAATAAAGGTTACAAAGTATTTGAACCCATTGTAAGATAAGACAAGACTAGGACCCCAAACATCATAATGAATAAGTGAAAAAGGACTTAAGGCATGCTTATTTTCTCTTGGAACAAAAGACACTCTGTGATGTTTGCTAAATTGACATGACTCACATTCTAAACCTGAAACTGACTTTAAGGTAGAAACTAACTTCTTTAAGATTGGAGAAAAGGATGACCTAAACGACAATGCCACTGGTGAGGTGTGAGAGGAGAATGAATAGCTTTCTGTGAACCACCATCACCATCTAGATAGAACAACCCTCCAACTTCCCCATCTTGAGATCCTAAAAAATACTATAAGAAAGATGAAAGGTGATTGAGCAATTAAGAGACTTAGCCAATTTACTCACAAACAAAAGGATAAAGGGGAATTAGGGTACATATAATACAAAAGATTAAGCGATGCTAGAATCAAGAAACACATTACTAGTACCAATGATAGAGGGATAGTACCATCAGCCAAGGTGACATTTTGTGATGTACAAGGAGGAGGAAGGATATAAAGAAATCTAGAGATCCAGCCATATAGTCTAAAGCTCCAAAGTAGATTGAGAACAAGAAACTAGACTATCTATACCTAATTTTAGTAAGGGTGGCAGTAGTATTGGAAGAAGAAGAAGAAAGACCATTTCTCATACTCACATGTAATTAGGGGTGTTTAAATTCGGTTATCAAATTGAAAACCGAATTAACCAAAATAAATACATATATTTATATTTTAATGATAAATATTAATATTACTATTTATATTAATAATAGTATATGATATGTATTTTAATTATAAATGTTGATATATTTTGACAATAATTATTAATATAAATATAACATACATTTATATTTTAACTAATCAAATTAATTGATTTAAAACCAAACCAATTTGAATTTGGTTCGGTTCGGTTCAGTTTCTAAATCTAATTCGGTTCAGTTAAATTCAAGAAAATGACCTAACCAAAATGTCGGTTAGGTTATATTTTTTAACCAAACCGACTGAATGAACACCCCTATGTGTGATAGTTATTAGTACCTTCTCCTTTCCACCTCCTAAAGCAAGTCCACCACCAATTGATTTAACATTACTAGAAATCCATCGCACTTCCTCCATCTCTCCCACCACCACAACCATCACCTCTCATGGCATGCCGTCTATGTACACCTCCATCAGCACCACCTCCTCTAGCAACAGCCATAAAATTTGGGTTTATCATATGAATCATTCAAGAAAACTCAACAAATCTGATTGTTGATCTCAAGAACTAATCAGCCATCAAAGGATTGCAGCTTTTTGCCCATAGTAAGACCACTGAACAAACGCCTTGTAGGCAAAAAATCAAGACTATCACCACACACAAGTTACTATAAAATCATTACTGCAGCATAAAAAGGCACACTCCTCATAAGATCAGTAGGAAACTACTCAGAAACACTTACTATCATAACAGAGAACTTTAACCAATCATCAAACTGAAGTACTAAACAAAGCATTCCTCAATTGATCACAGCCTATCCCTCCTTGAACTGCCAAATAGAGGGACTTTATCCACTACTCGAACTACACAAACTGAGGCATAACAGCCTCTAATGCTTAATCTGATTAGTCACAACACTTCAATTCTTGTTTCTTTACACCAAAGGAAAAGGATTTTCTATGTGCAGACTTCTTTAATCCCAAAGAATCAATTCAGGTTGTTAATAGTAGCTCCGATACCATAAAACAACCTGAAATCGATTTAAGTACAAGAGAAAAAAAATAATAATAATAAATGGTGAAATTACAACTCTATTTGTTTTTCTGCCTATAATTCTAACAATAATGGGCAATGACATGAGAAAAAATGATAAAGATAAAAAAATAAATCCTCCATTTATAATTTTTCTTTTGCATCCTGTGTGCACCAAGGCTATGTTTGGTTTGAAGAAAAAGATAGGGAAAGGAAGGGAAATGTAGGGAAACCTTTACAAACCTTGTATAGGTTTCCCTGCCTTTCCCTACTTTTTCCTTCAAACCAAACACAATCTAAATGAAAAGCCCCATTTACATGTTTTAACTTTTCTCAAGCTTTTTTTTCCACAACCTGTTATGAAGATAATGGTTCAAAAGGTAGACAATTGCTCCCTTGCTCTTGCTGGACAAGATGCATGTGCTAGAGATGAGCATTCTTATTGGCATTAAGTGATCAATAAACTAAAAAGCTAAACTTGACCGATTTAAAGTACAATAAGGTTGGCCTTCCATATCCGCCTATCAACGACCCTGCAATCAGGGAGGAAAACTTTCTCCAACCTCGCCATTGTTCCCACTAGAAAATCCACCACCAAATTATTAATCCCTGGTCAGACTATAGATATTAGTTAAGGACAGCATAAAAGGGTTCAACCCATACCAAGCATCCGCCCAAAGTTCTCCTTTCCTAATATCAAAGAAAGTGATCTTCTTGAAATCATCAATATCTTCATTATGCCCTTCCCTACCCTTACACGGTAGCTTCCTGATACTCCTCGGCTTCCACACACAAAATGAGTACAACCATCTTTTGTTACTTAAACACAAAATTTTCATGGGAATATCAGACACTTAAAGAGTAATAGTACATCTCAAATCATCACCAATTCTCCAAGGAAGATGTCCACAAATCAAATATTCTTTTACAACTAAAACTGTAAATTTCCTCGTTCAAACCATCTCTTCTTAAATCCAAACCAAAAGAAGGAAAAATAAGAGAAAAGAAAAACCAATTCACCCAAATGGAAGAACCAAGTAACATATTTAAACAATCATAGGGAGAAAAAAAAAGAGCAAAAACATCAATTTCCGACGACTGATCTAGGCTGACAAAATTAAACTTGCCTCTTTTTATACTAGATAGGTAATTCGTCCAGTTAACGACACCTACACAATACAGGAATAATAGAAATAAAATAAAACAACCCAAAGTAAGTGCAAGCGCATCAGTCAGAGATACATATGCCTAAAAACAGGATATCTTAAGCAAAACAGGATATATCTCACAGATGTGCATGAATCATTTGAGCAAGGGAGATCTACTTCATCAATAGTCAACTTAATTAAAAACGAGTAGAAGCCCAGAGAATAAAACGAAAAACCCAGAACAATCAGATAATTCCTTTTGAGCGAACTACCTCGAAGACGTTTCTGTCGAGAAAGAACCGAACTGCTGGAAAAAACAAAGCAAAAAATGGAAGAACTCTGAAATCATTATATTGTGGATATGATTCGTGCTCCCAATCAATTGAACTTATTGATTCCAATAAACCCATTCTGGGTTTTGAATTACAGAAGAATCTAAAAAGATGTCCAGAGATGTTGGATGATCAAGTCCAAATGGGGAAGAACAGACACGGTCGTCTCTCGTGCTAACTACTTAAAAAAATAAAAATTTTCCGATCAGTGTTTGGCTCGAGTGACAATGTAGTACTCAAACAAATGCGATAATCCCATACCCGAAACCTCGAAACGCGACAACATTGTACCTATCGTTAATCGGTATGAAAAAACCAACTGACCAATAAATGAAATCACAAACGCGGTAGTAAATATGGTGTTATTTATCAAAATTCGGGTTTTGATTGGTCAAAATTCTATCAATATTATATCCTTTTTGCATCATAGATTTTCAATTAAATAATATATGAAAGGACACAAATGTCCGTCCATCAATGGCACCCCTCGTTATTTCATCAATTCCGAATCCTAAATATTTTAATAACTCAACCAAATAAGATAAATTACTCAGCATTGATGTTGGGGTTTTTGGGGCTAGAGACCTATATTCCCATTTTTATCGGATAGACCATCATCACCGAATCAAAGCCAATTTCAGAGCAGAGCTATGGAATCAGCGAGCTGAGAGAAGCGACGGAGAAGAGTCCTAGACCCAGACTTTTGGTTGTATTTCGAGATGAAGAGGAGTATGTGTTATATGCACCCATGGGTGCAATAGACGAGTGCAACCCTCGAATGAGAGGCGAACACGTCATTTCATTTATCTTAATTGTGAATTAATGGAAACTTTTTCTGTTACCAATCATTCGGCTGGTTGAACCGGCCATTTTTTAATCTCCTTCCCATTTTGACTATCCTCCACAGAATTCAAGCATCCATTGGTGACTCACTGCACACCGGCGTTGTGAATGCCCCGTTCTCCCTCCCCTCCATTATCCTATCCGATAGGAGACATTGACCCAGAGATTCGGTCCCAATGATCTACTGGACAAGGATGTGCCATTACTTCTAGAGCCCCATCACAATGACCTTCAGCAATGACGATCATAATAACGATGTCATTAAGATTAACAACGACGCAAATCGATGCTATAGCAATGACAAAGTTTTATCGAATTATAACAAGAAACTGAAGTATGCAACACTTGAAGTGGCGAACAAATCCCATGCGTCGTACAGTGGATGCCCATCTGGGGTGGCTCTAATGGACACTAAACGAGAGGTCTACAAAGGGTAGTTTGTGGAATCGGTAGTGTATAATCCAAGCCTGGGGCTAGTTCAGGTAGCATTGGTGGTGTATGTGGCAGCTGGCAATGGTGGTGGTGGTGGGTACGAGAAGATCATGGCAGGGGCATTGGCGGAGAAGAAAGGAGCAATGGTGGGATAGGAAGGCACGACACAATTGTTGTTGTAATCAGTATTGCCACGATGTGATTTTGTAATATTCCACTACAATTCAGCTCCCTCCCTCAAAATATAAAAAACCTTGTTAATCTGTTATTGATCAATCTGAAGATGACATTAGCATTATTGATTTGGAGGGGTGAAATAATTTCAGATCAATTATCTTCAAACGCTTCTTCAATTCGTTGTACCAAAAAAACTTATATCTCCACTCAGGCAATGTCTCTTCGATCTGATTGCCTAGGCTCTTCCTGAACTTTATCTCTCTCTCTCTCTTTCTCTCTCCTCCAATTTCTCCTTCTACGTTATTTCTGATAAATACAGAAAATGTGTTGAATTGGAACAGCTCCCGGCAAAAACCTGACGGAGTCTTTCAAAAGAATGGACAAGTATCAAACAAGATGATGGAGGGGAGGTAGAGTGGGGGGACAGCGGATTTTTTCCTACTACCAATGACTTGTGCGTTCACGATGCCAATTTGCAACGAGTCACTGATGGATGCTTGAGTTCGGTGGAGGAGAGTCAAAAATGGGAAGGAGAATAAAAAATGGCCAGTTCAACCAACCAAACGACTTATAACGGAGAAAGTTTTCATTAATTCATAATTAAGACAAATGAGATGACGTGTTCGCCTCTCATTCCAGGGTGCACTCGTCTAGTGTGCACAGAATACAGTCTCGATGAAGAGAGCACTTGTCACCGATGAAGATTCGATGGTTGATGACCAGTAAGGAGGAAGAAGAAAGGGAGTGAAGAAGAAAAGGAGGAGAGTAGTCAAGAAATTGGATTTGTTCTTCTCGATGAGCATCTGCTCTTCGAGGTGATGAAGTACTTGGACGTGCGGTCGCTTGCAATCGCATCTTGCATTAATACAGTGGCAATCAACAGCTCCGGTAACCGCTGAAATGGCTGTAGCAATCAACAGCTAACTCGGATGGGGTCAGTGACAATTATGCCTAAACTTTCATTTGCCACAAAGGCCCCTTCAACTTTTACATCGTAACAAATACTCCTTCTGTTAGGGTTTTTTAACTATGGAAAAGATTTTAACAGTTATTTAAATTTTTTAATCTCCAAATTATCCTTTTTATAGTTATTTGAATGATTTATGATTTAATTAGTTTGCTATTGAAATCCTTTGGGTTGCTCTAATAGGTCCCTGCAGATTCTGATTGGATAGGTTTCTTTCTGATAGATATAAATTTAAGGTTTCAATTCGTTTGGTCTTTTCTTGTTTTATCAGATGAAAGAGTGAATAATTTTTATATTTTAAGATGAAGAGAGGCATTTGTGCCAGTGAAATAAAACAAGAACTTAAACAAAACAAAAAAAAATGTTTATCTATATAAGTGAAATGATTTTTGTTATTTTATCCAATTTTGTTTGGAAAAAGTTGATGTATTTTGGGGTCAAGTAGCATTTAAGAGAAAGTGGCGAGGAACAAGAGGTAATGACTAAGGGGTTTTTGTTGCAAATAAACAGGGGGTAATTATCACTGATCCCATAGTATAAGGGGGTTTTTATAAAAGACATTTTATATAAACACATTGGCTGCGTTTGGAAACAATGCAAATAAGTGTGAATGTAAAAATGTAGAGGGTAAGAACGGTTCACATAAATTGCAAAATTTGGTTAGTTTTGTACTTATAAATTTACCTTCTTACCAAACAGACTTTTAGTTGTAATGGATGCAAACACGAATTCCAATAAAGCATATGTTTTTTTTTTTTTTATCAAAAGCCTACTTAATGTAAATTTACTTCTTTTTTATTGATGTGCTGATGTACTTTTACATCTTATTATCAATGTAACTGTGCATTGATTTGTCATTTGTCAATGCATAAATGTAATGTTGTCAAATACAAACAAAACTGACCCATAGTGCAAATTTTTCTAAACCAGGATTTACACTCCATTTGCATTGTTTTCAAACACAACGATTTTGTTGGTGTTTCATTTTGTTCATAGACACAATCAGCATTCTAAAACACATTTTCATTTGAACTCACTTCTACAACACATTGTGTTGATTCAAATTAAGATATTTTATTTTTTGAACACAAACATTCAAAAAGAAGGCCGGCATGACTAAGTGATTCATCTTGTTGGTCATATTCTTATATTGTAGATAGACCTGTTCATGGGCCAGGCTTTTGCTCTTCGTTAACATGATTTTTTTAGGCCCAAGCCCAAGCCCGACTTGACTAATGGGCCTACAACTTGGGCCCGAGCCCGGCCCTCATAAAAAGCCCAAAGCCTGACAAGGCTTGTACAAAGTTGAGAAATGCATGACTTGTACAGACTACAAAGTAACAGAGGCTGAAATGTATGATTTGTACAAAGTTGAGAAATGCAGGACTCACCGCCAGAGAGAAGGGCGATTGAGTTCACTGGTGGTGCGGCTGGTGCTGGTGCTTGAGTTCACTGGTTCCTGAGAATATGCGACAGTGAGTGAGAATGAGAACTGCGAGAGAGAGAGGACTGGTGGAGAGAGAGAGAGAGAGAGAGAGAGAGAGAGAGAGAGAGGACCGATGCCTGAGCTCGCTTGTCACCTCTAAGAATGAGAGCGGTGGCTACCTGTCTGGGTTCGTGCTAGTTCTTAAGAGTGAGAGTGAGGAGAAAAGATAGAAGATGACAAGAGGGAATAGGAAAGGGTTATTCAGCTAGGGTTTAGAAGAAGTTACAAATGTCGGGTTGGGTCGGGCTCGGGCCAAGCTTTTGTGACAAATCTCAAGCCCGTCTTGTAAAATAGTCGGGCTTGTGCTTTTAGGCCCGAGGTCAAGTCCGCAGGCTAAAATCCATGGGCAAGCCCGTTTGGGGGTCGGGCTAGCCCGTCAGGCTACCTGGCCCATGAATAGGTCTAATTGTAGAAAATACAATATATTTTATACACATCACGTATAGAATGTACAATTATATACTTTTTAATATATTATAATATATATTTAACGTATTATATATTATGAAAAGTAAATGATTAGAACCAAAAGTTGAATGGTGATAGATGACTTACTTGTAAGAAATGCAAAAGAAAAAAAAAAGCCCAAAATGTGTTGACTTGATAACATGAACCACGGAACCAAACGGGTTTAGGCCCTGTTTGGTTAGGTTAGGTGGAATTGGAATCCCATACCCATTCCTGCTGGAACGGCATTCCCCCATTTGAGGCCATTCCTTGCCATTCCCTTGGGAATGAAATCCTATTCATACTAATTCCAATTTCCATTCTCATTCCTGTTTGAATCAAATATACTATGGAAATGTACCATTTTGATTTTGACTTAAACCAAACGGTCCCTTAATTAATATTTTCAATTAAAAAAAAAATTCGTTATGGACCATATCTAATATATATTAAAGGATTACTGAATACAGTAATTAAATCTTAAATAAGAATCAATATTTATTAACAGTCATTAAAATTGTTAAGCCAAATCATTAATGTTTATTCTTAAATGCAAAATATGAATTAACAAATCTATTATATAATAATTATASTCGGTTGRAAWAAATATTTTAAGTAAATATTTAAATAATTACAAATTTAGCTATTATTATTACTATATAACAAAAATTTTAAATTAAATACTAAAATAAATTAATAATAATAATAAGAAGAAGAATGGTTAAATTAAAGTAATAAACGGTTCAAGTTGAATTTAATGACCCGTATAATTTTACGGGTTTGACATATAAGAATCAATTTATATGGACCCATAGACTATATGAATGTCATAAAAAATTGCAGTTTATAAATAATAATAAAAATGGTGATAAAAATCATTAATGTTTATTATATATATATGTGTGTGTGTGTTTCTGGAAC